CATAGGTGGCACGCAGAGCCATTTGTGTGGGCACGAGAGCTCCGGGCAAACTTACCTCACTCCGCATGCGCGGGCCTCCCACCTGATTTTGGGGGCCTGCCAGAGGCTTGAGGGAAGTGACCAAACGGGCCTATTTTTCGGCCTGTAAAGCCTGCAGAGGCTTCCTTCAAGCCTCTGGAAGGGCCGAAAAAAGTCCTCAAATGGGCCGAAAATCAGCTGGAAGGTGCAGTGCAGGTAAGGGAGTGGCAAGGGAGGGGGGAATTGCATACGCATGCACGTGGGGCATGGGGGCCCTGCATTCATTGCCTTCTGGGTGCTGGCATGCGAGTGTGCACGCACAAATGTGCACCCAATTTTTGGCACAGGCGCCCAAAAAGGTTAGCCACCACCGCAATATAAAATGTGTGTCTTTGTCTCTATATAGCACCAGAACTGGACACAATTTTTCAAGTGTGGTTTTACCAAGGCAATATAAAGTGGTGCCGTCACTTCCCTTGGTTTTGACCCTCTGTTGATGCAGCCTAGGAGCCTTTTTTGGCAGCTGCAGCACATGGCTGGCTCATCCCAAAGATGCTTTTTCAGGAGGCAACTAGACTTTCTAGTTTTTCCTTCTGAAGATGTTTCGCTTCTCAATCAAGAAGCTTCTTCAGTTCTGACAGGAGAGTGGGGAATGATGGAACGATTTATATTCCTTGAAGACAGCTAGTCATTTGTCTCCTTTTAGAGGGTCGTTGAGGCCACTTGGAAGTTTATCTGTGTCCTCGGGACCACCTGAGTAAACCTCCAAGTGCTCCAACAACCCTCTAAAAGGATGCAAATGGCCAGGAATTTAAATCCTTCCATTCCCCACTATCCTGTCAGAGCTGAAGAAGCTTCTTGGATGAGAGGTGAAATGTCTTCAAAAGAAAAAAAACAAGAAAGTCCAGCTACCTCCTGAAAAAAGCCCCTTTGGGACAACTATGACCTGGATGACTACGGACTTTTAGCTATGCAATTTGGGATGAGCACCCTTGGAATGGTGTGGGAGAAGGAATGGATTTTCAGAGAGAAAAACTGCAGATTACAGGAACCATTTGCACTACTCAGGTGATCCTGAGGACACAGACAGACCTCCAAGTGGCCTCAACACAACCCTCTCAAAGGATGCAAATGACCAGCTGTCTGCAAGGAGTATAAATCCTTTCCTTCCCCACCATCCAGTCAGAGCTGAAGAAGCTTCTTGGATGAGACGTGAAACGTCTTCAAAAGAAAAAAAACCAGAAAGTCCAACTACCTCCTGAAAAAAAAGGCACCTTTGGGTCAGCCATGACCTGGATGACTGAGACTCTCTACAGTCTTATTGCTGGTTCCTGCTAAGCGGTTCATCCACTCTAGGACACCTGAATCCCTGCTAAATTGAGCCAGGTACCCTCTCCAATACATTTCATCATTGCTCCGGCTCAGGTGGGGCCGAAGAGTGAGCCGAATCATCCATCCTATGGATTGTTCTTGGCTGGAAGTCACAAATAAGAAAAAGAGAAAGGCTGGGGGAGGAGGGAAAACTCCCCCTTTCCTTAAAAACCTTCCACTGTGTTTGTTCTTAATAGGTGTGCAGGTATAAATCAGCAGGAACGGGAGTGCATTACAAGAAGAGAAAGCTCAGCCCATTAATCTACCAGCTGCTCTTAAGGATTTCTGCGTCCTCTCCCTCCCTCCTCACCCCAGAGACGGGTGCCAACAGAAGGGCTGGGAGGGGTCCCCTCTTTTGCCCTTTGGAGCGCCGGGAAGACAGAAATCTCCTTTTATAGGCCTGCAGCTCAGTTTCCATGAGCTCACAAATGATGTGGAGGAAGAAAAACATCAAGAGCTTGAACCATGCCATTCACCCAGGATCAGCGGAAAGCAGCTCCCATGGATACTAACAGGCTAATAAAGATTTCCAGAATTAGAACATCGAACAGAGTTGGAAGGGACCTTGGAGGTCTTCTAGTCCAGCCCCTTGGCTCAAGCAGGAGACCTCCCCGCATACCATTTCAGACAGGGGGCTGTCCAGTTTCTTCTTTAAAAAGCCTCCAGTAATGAAGCACCCAACAACTTCAGAAGGCGATCTGGTCTGTCGGGAAATTTCTCCTCAGTTTTAGATTGTTTCTCTCCTTGATCAGTTTCCCTCTCTTGCTTCTTCTCCTGGAGGAGGAGGGTTGGGCTAGATGACCTACAAGGTCCTTTCCCACTCTGATTATGTGTTAGCTGTTATCCTGCCTTCTGGTGATTTGGAAAATAGGTTGACCCCCCCCTCTTCTTTGTGGCAGCCCCTCAGATATTGGAACATTGCTATCAAGTCACCCTTAGTCCTACTTTTCCTTAAACTAAACGTATCCATTTCCTGCAACCAATTCTTCATAGGTTTTAGCCTCCGGCCCTCTAATCATCCTTGTTTTTTTTAATTGGGGAGGGGGCAGAAAAGAAGGAAAGCTTATCCCCTTCCGACAACTTTTATCTTAGGAGGGAAATTTGATGGAAGCAGAATTTATCCATGGGAGGGGGACGATTCCACTTGGGAACAACTTCTTTGTTTGTTCCTTTGTTTGCAATCTTATCCAAATATATCTTTGCCTTTTTCATGCTGTTCAACAATTTTGCCTTCTGTTCTCTCCTGCCTCTCTACGTGAAACCCCAGATATCCTCTCGGTCTTCCTTTTTTTTGCCCTTCCCTAATTGTGGCCTGATCAAGGTTTTCATTTTTCAGCCTTCAAGTTTGAGCTTTTCCGCATTGCAATCTTCAAGCAGCTCGGCTCATCGGGCATAAAATGGCTGCCAGAGAAGGTGGTTGAAAAAATAAATAAATCTCTTTCTGAATTTCGGCTCTTCCTTCCTTTTGGCCGAGGAGACTCCTGACATTCTCTCTGGATGGGGATAACCAGTGGTGGGATCCCAATCATTTTGCCACCGATTCTCTGCCCTGATGATTTCTTCTAACAACCAGTTTGCCAAACTGCTTGGAAAGTTAACAAACGGTTCTCCCGAAGTGGTGCATCCTGGCTGAATCCCACCACTGGTGGTAATCACAGCTGGGGGATTGGTGGGAGCAGTGGTAGGATTCAAATTGTTTTACCACTGGTTCAGTGGGCATGGCTTGGTTGGCACGCTTTGCCTAACGCTGATGCGCCGCTTTCCCCACACCAGCTGAGACCTGCAGCGCCAATCAGCTGAGAGGATAAAGAAAAGCACAAGGGCAGGTGGGAGGGACGATCCTGCACTTTTCTCTTCCTTTTCCTCTCAGCTGATCGTC